AGGACGTCTCCGCCCGGACTCCTCCGTCTGGGACGGCATCAAGCGCTGTGTTTTGGCCAATCTGGACTTGGTGAGGGGGGAATCTTGGGGGAAGAGGGCGCCACCATCTTCACAGATGCGAGTGGCGCGGGCTTCGGGGCGGCCTGGGACCGGGCCGAGGTGCAAGGCCACTGGTCTGAAGGGGAGCAACGACTGCACATCGGCTGGCTGGAGCTCTCAGCGGTCCTGCGGGCGCTGCAGTCCTGGGTGCCACGGTTGGCGGGGCGCCGGGTGCTGGTCCGGTGCGACAACACCCAGGCGGTAGCGGCCATCAACCACGGTTCCACACGCATCCCGGACGGACGAGCCATCAGCCGACAGCTGGCGCTGCTGGCGGTGCGGCACCAGTTCGAAGTGCGGGCGGAGCACATCGCCGGGGAGCTTAACGTCAGGGCGGACCGGCTCAGCCGCAATCTGGAGTTGGCCCGCAGCCAGAATCTGCGCCTCAAACCTCGCACGTTCCGCTCCCTGGTCGGGTTTGGGCAGTATGCTCCCTCGGTGGGCTGTTGCTGCGACGTGCTAGGTGTCAACGCACAGCCGGGCTGCTCCACCTTCTTCAGCCCGGACAAGTCGGTGCTGGGTCAGGCGGCAACCCTCGCTGGCAAAGTCCTGTGGGCCTTCCCACCCAAGGATTTGGTCGGGGAGGTGCTGCTCGAGATCGTGGCGGCTGCGAGGCTCGATCGGAGCACACGTGCAACTGTCGTCGTGCCAAACTGGCCGGAGCGCTCGTGGTTTCGGCGTTTCGTCGTGGGCACCGGGCAAGGGGCAACCCCGTTTGTGGTATCGGCTGTCTTGCCCAAGGGCCGACGGCATTGCCTTTTCCCGTGGGGGGCCGAGGCCGCGCCCAGCGAGTACGACTTGATTGTGCTCAGGCTCAATTAGATTGCCCCGCATCCCCCCCTTGGCCAGTTTCGGCAGGCGGTCCCCAGGAGGAGGGAAGCTGCTCCGTCTGCGGGCGGCGCTGTGGAGCTGGGGATCTGCGCTGTGAGGCCTGCCCCTGCTCGACCCATCGTCGGTGCCTTGGAATCGCCCCAGGCGCCTACCCCGGTGGTTGGTACCGCTGCACCTCTTGCTTGCTTGCGGCGGCGGGTATCGGATCAGTGGCCCAGGGGAGTGTTACGGAGGAACTAGCATGGCTAGCCGTGGAGTTGCACGGCAGCGCGGTCGCAGACAGCTCTTCGGTCACTTATGAGTCGGGGCGGCGGCGCTTTGTGCGCTTCTGTACGGAGGTCGCAGGGGTGCCGGAGGCGGACGCCCTGCCCCGCCAGCGTGGGTCTGACCTCAATCGGGACCTGGTGTGTCTGTTCATAGCGCATGCAGTTGGCCGGTACGCGACCTCCACCGTCACCGGCACGCTGAGCGCCCTGGCGGACTGGCAGCGGTTCATGGGAGTCTCGCCAGAGGCATATATCAGCCGCGACCCGCTGGTCAAGCGAACCCTGGGCCAAGCGTTGCGAAGGTCGGCTGCGGGGCCGGAGTCGGCACCGTCCATGGCAAAGGCACCCTTGCCCCTGGGGGTGTTGAGGCTGCTCGTGGCGTGGCTACGGTGCAGGGCAAATGCGGAGCCGCGGAGGGCGTCGGAGTTCACACAGGACGCCTGCTGGTTGGTTTTGGGGTTTTTCGGAATGCTCAGGAGGAGCGAGTTGGCGGCCCTGACAGTGGGCTGCGTTGAGGAGTTGCCGGGAGGGGGTGTGGGGCTGCGGATCGTACGTAGCAAGACGGACCAGAAGGGAGAGGGGACGTTGGTGTGCCTGGCAGCATTCACCCAGAGCGGCATCCCCATAGCTCGCATAGTACAGCGGCACCTGGAGTGCGTGGGAACGGCCGAGGGTCACTCCCCGCTCTTCGTACGGGGAATCACCGGGCCGGGCAAGCAGGGGACGGCGTGGCGGCGTGGGGATTTCACTATTAGGCTGCATGCGTTGCTGGGGGAGTTGCAGGGGTTCGAGCCGGAGTTGAGGCTAGATCTCGCCAGAATATCGGCCCACAGCTTGCGCAAGGGGGGGGCCACCGCGGCTGCCAATGCGGGGGTGGGTCTGGAGGAGATTAAGGCGCACGGGCGGTGGAGGTCTGATGCGGTACTGGTCTACATCCGCCGGTCCGTTGCTGTGAGGCGGACAGTGGTGGAGCGTATGTGACGCGACTGGGTGAGGGGGATGTTTCGCTGGGTTAGGCGTGGGGCCAAAGTAACCCAAGCGAGGCCGTCGGCTGCCTGCGGGTTACCAATGCGGAAGAGCACGGTAGCCCGGAAGGGCCGCACGAAGTAGCATGCGGGCTCTGGCAGGCAGGCTGGGCGTCTCTTATCCCCAACCATATGTCCACGTCCCCGGTGCCTTGTTCATGTTAGTTGTACGGTAACGAACGCGTTTTGGGTTTCTCGTCCCGGTTCTTGGTCTGGCTAGCTGCTCAGCCCGGATTCAAAATCTTATTTTAGGCATAGCCGAAAATGTGGTTTGAAGAGGGGCGTCAGAGCGGCGTCGTACGGTGCAGTTAGTTGGTTGTTGTTTTGAATTGCTATTTGATCGGCGGTGTTTAGTCTTGTCGAATTATCTTCCGGGCGATCTCGGACTCGGCTACTAGTTGATACGAGCCCTCTGTACCAGAACAGCTGCTAGCTGCCGCTGTATTGTCCTT